TTTTAAAAAAAAAAAAAAAAAAAAAAAAAAAAAAAAAAAAAAAAAAAAAAAAAAAAAAAGAATATTGGGGACAGGCTGGCTGGTTAGTTCAGTGTGTCACACCGTGGTGCTGATAACACCAAGGTCAAGGGTTCAGAACACCATAGTGGCCAACTGCCAAAAAAAAGAAAAGAAAAAGAAAGAAATAATACTAAAGACTTAATAAACCCTTTAAAAAAAAAAAAGAAAATTGGAGACAAAGAGAAGATCCTACATACTTGCAGAGACAAAAATAAATCATAGGATCCCAGATTAAAATGACTTCAGACTACCAAACAGCAACTTTGTAAACAAGAAGGTAATGGATAAATGCCTTTAGAATTCTGAAAGAAATTTATTTTTCTTGATAAAAGAATCATTACAAGATAAAAAAAAAATGAGAAACTCAGTACACAAATGGGCAAAAGCCATTAAGCAGGCAGTTCATAGAAGAGGAAATGTCAGTGGCCAATAAACAGAAGCAAATAGTTTCTTAACCATAGTAATAGTCAAGAATTGTAAATTAAAACAGTAATGTTATTTTTTCACTATCAGAGTTAAATGTTGATGACAAAACTTTGGGGGTGGAGCTTGAGTATCAGTATTTTTGAAAATTTCCCCAATGATTCCAACATGCAGTCAACATTGGGACTAAGATAAACTGGACCCCACTGCTCCTCTTTTCTCTTTGTTTGCTTGGTTAGACATTTAGTTGTGTACCAGTAATCTGAATAAACCTTCCAATCCTTGCACTAACCTTTGGACTTTCAAATCATTTGTTTAGCATGAGACAGGCAAGCTGAGCCTGGTCTGTCAGTAACAATTGTTTATATTCTTCCTGAAAGTCATTCTTTTCTAATCTGGTTATAAAAAGCTCAAAACATTATAAAAATATAGACTTACATTTAAAAGTCTCCCCATGGGCCGGCCCGTGGCTCACTCGGTAGAGTGCGGTGCTGATAACACCAAGGCCGCGGGTTCGGATCCTATATAGGGATGGCCGGTTCGCTCACTGGCTGAGCGTGGTGCTGACAACACCAAGCCAAGGGTTAAGATCCCCTTACTGGTCATCTTTAAAAAAAAAAATAAATAAAAGTCTCCCCATAATTCCATCACACAGATATAACTACTATTAACAGTTTGTTGTTGACTCCGTACAATTTGTTCTCTAGTAAAATGCCAGATTAATATATCAAAAGAAGGTAAGCTCATAATACATGTATGATTTTGAAAACTTTCTTTTTTTCCTTTCATATGTTGTGGACAACTTTGCATGGCAGTATTAATAGAGTCACTTAAGTCTCTCTAAATAGCATTATCATTATCATAGGTAGCCCATTGTTGTCTATCAATGCACAATTGGGTTAATTTTTTTTTTTTTTTAATCGATGGTTAAGTGCTTCAACGCACTTCCCTGGAAGCATACTTTTGCACAGAAAGATGTTTCTGTAATGGTGAAGTGAAAAGCTGGGACAGACAGTATAGCTATTACTACACTGTCCTTAAAGAATATGAGTTTCTGTTTGCCCTACATACTGGCCAACACTGCATGCCATGAATATTTTCTCTTTCCCCCAAAACAATACATGTATTTCAAATCAGACCATGATTTGTGATTAGCAGTCATGTCCTGATTTGA